CGCAGTACAGAGCACTTAGGATAGTAATGGTAATCATGGGTAAATGTTTACTTATCACTTATGTACCAGGCAGAATTCTAAACAGCCTACAAAGATTGCCTCTACAATCTTTAATGAGGGAGGTAGCATGATTAACCTCATTGTACAGGGAATGCTGCTGAGGATCAATGATATAAGTGACTTGACCACGGTCACAGAAATGGCTGATAAGCACCTAGGCAAGAATCTGGCACATAATAAGTACTCAATAATTATTTACCTGTAAATGATTAACTACATGAAATAGAGAAATAAGAACATTTCTGTTTCCTCCACAGAAAGTTCAAACAAGAACCACTTCTCACTCAACTTCCAAATCATCTTCCCTGCCAAATGCCCAGGAAGGTGCTGGGCAATGGAAAGAACTAATGAACAAAAACATAAAGGCAAATCATCAAAGCCCAAATGCTGGCAGCTAAACAGCTCCTGGGCTTCTGTGTGTCCTCTGTCAAACATCGAGACTAGACACAGATTTTTCTATCTACCATTAAAAATAAAGTGTAGGGGTTGAGGGTGGGGGGAGCTGGAAGGATACTACAGGGGACAGGACAGTTATCTTGTATGTGGCCGCCCCAGGTTTGATCCCCAACATCCCATATGGCCCCTGAGCCCTGCCAGGAGCGATCCCTGAGCATAAAGCCAGGAGTAAGCCCTGAACACAGCTGGCTGTGACCCAAAACATAAACAAAATTAAAAAGTTAAAAAAAAAGTCCATGGGTGGGGGCTGGAGGGAGTCAGAGTGATTGTACAGTGGGTGAGGTACTTCGCTGCATGCAGCTGACAGGGATTTCATTCCCAATACTCCATATGAACCCCAATCCCTCCAGGAGTGATCTCTGAGCACAGAGCCAGGAATAAGCCCTAAGCATAGCTGGGTGTAGCCCTAAAACAAAGCAAAAAAAAAAAATTCATGGGGCCATATTGAGAAAGAGCTCAATAGATTGAGACGGGATTTGTATGTTGGTTGGCCGGGTTTGATCCTTGGCACTGCATGGTCTCCTGAGCACTGCCAGAAGTGCTTCCAAGCATCACGCTGGTATAACCCCTGAGCACCAGTGTTTTTGTAAACAAAAACAAAACAAATAAAAAAATAAAGGTCCATTTAAACAGTCAGACAACATGCCTTTGTGATGACAGCTATTCCCACTCCAAGTTCTATCTCGCATTTTCCCCTGGGTGATTTTCCCAGGAGAGAATACACAGAAGTGGCATGTGATCTTGGCATCATGCTGTAGCAGAGCCAATATCAGTCCTCAAGGATTCATTTGCCTTGATCCTTGGTTCACCCCCATCCTTATGTAAACAGATCACACCCAGGGAAAGAACTGTCAAGCACCTGACAAAACCCTCGTAAAGAACCATCAGTAATAAACAATGATCCCAAGTCAGCTTGTGCAGCTGGATCCTAAGTCACCACTCTAGCTCCCTTGAAGGTTTTCCTCTCTGGCCACTGTTACCTGCACCAAGACCTTCTTCTCCAGATAACTCCTGGTCATATCCTGCACCCCAGTCCTCACCACCAACACTCCCTCCCTCCCTAAGGGTGCCAAGGGCACAATGCAGCACTTAGGAGAGGGACGATAAGGACTTCTGAAGTGTTCAAGTCCAGATCTACTCGTACACCACTGAGATGCGTCCAAAGATAGCCCTGGCATCTGCAGTGCAGACGTGGAAGTTCTGGCTGCATTTGTTTTATTTCCAACCTACCAGAAACAAAGCTCCTGTGGCTAACCAGGAGCTTGGCTACATGTTGAGCATCTGATAAGTCTGTGTTAAATGGCTTAGCATTGGTGATTTTCCATGAGTATGGTGATACTCAGCCTTCCTTATTTGGCTAAAGTTCTGCATCAGTGCTACCCCAAAGGATGCCTACAGGAAGGGCGTGAGCAAGAAAGTATCTGTTCATGTCTGAGGAGAAAGAGGTCCGGTATTCTGTGATTTACTGAACTCTCAAGGAGCTTAAGAACTAGGTTCTCAGAGCTTAGCATGCAACCGTTCATGTGAATCCAATATGCAGAGGGGTTGGTCCATGGTCAGAGTACAAATAGGCACTGTACAGTCACCTGTTGTTTCTCTGCTTTGCACTTCCATGTCCTTGGGGACCTCCTCCTCTTTCCCATTAACCATGTGATACTTGAAAATTATACCAATAATATTGACCTGCCTTAGGTTTTCCTGGTTTTGGTTATAAGCATTGGCTCAGAGGTGGGCCAATAGAAATCCTTCCCTGAGATTTTTCTTTATAATATGAGCAGAAAAAACACTTCAGCCTTTTGGTACACAGATAAATAATGATACTAACCAGAGGCTGCCAACATGGAGAAACTCTGTCTTCAGCAATGAAGTCAGCACAGAGAAAAACACCCCAGAGATAAGAGGGAAGGAGAAAGGATGGGGGTGGGGAAGTCCCTGCATGCTTGCACTTTCCTATTTGCATGTGACTTTCTTGCTTTGTTGAGGTTGGCTGAATTTCTGAAATATTCCCCTAAAGTGGCCTATCATAGTCACCATGAAACTTACACCGCATCCCTTTCCCTTTGTTGCTGCTGTTTTTGCAGTGCCCAGGGTTCTGGTTCTGGTATATCCAGGATCACACATGATGACAGTGCCAGGGCTAAGCTCACTTATGTTGAGGGGTGCCAGGGATCCAACTCGCAGCCTCAAGCTTTCGAGGTAGATGCTCGGACACTGAACCACATCCACAGGCACCTCCAAGTGCATTTTCATATGCATCTTCTCCTTTACAGGAGCTAGGTCATTTTTATGAGATAGACTAGCATATATTTGTAATATCTTTGTTCCTCCCTAAGAACAGGTAAAAAGCTCATGGGCAAAAACCACTCTTACTCAGCAATACGACCTGCAGCCCTTAGATCTTTTTCTCAATACCTCGTACACAAAGAAGGATCCACCAGCCATAAGATGTGAGAACGAATCTAATTCAAGCACCAAAACTGTAAAAGCAGTTCCCCAGGGAAGGCAACCAGCTCGTGATCAGTTTGAAACCAGGACATTTTCATGGTAGTCACCCTCCACTTTGCCCCTGTGCTAGATGACTCCCCAGAACCTCTGCTCCTGCATCACTAAAAGAGCACCCAATAATAGCTAGAAACTGTTGTGCATCGGCAGCAATAGCATAAGAGGTCTGGACATGGTCTGACTCTACCGGAACTTCTAAAAAGAAAGCTACTATGGGACTAGAAAGATGGCTCAGAGGCTAAGACTCTTGCTTTGCATGCAATCAACCCCTGCTCAATCCCTGGCACCGCATAGAATCCCCCACTGATGACATTAATGCAGTGTTATCAGTGAACCCTGGGCACTGCAGGTATGACCCCAAAATTTAAAAAAAAAAAAAAAAAGGAAACAAGCAACTCTGTTCAGTGAGAATGGCAATGCTCTGAAAGCCAATAGCTGCCCTCTCCTCGAAGCCTAAAGCACTGCCCAGTGAACTCTGAACCTTGCAGCTACAAGATATAGGACGAAAGGTGCTGGGTGGGGTTGGAACCTAGCACCCTGGCCCTTCCCCACCCCACTTTCTTCTCAAGCACATTCATTTCCTCCCCACAAAGCTGAAGTTGGCAGGTTACAGGCTGACACTGCCCGGATGGCCAGCACGGTCCATGCTCCAGCGACCGGTCTGCTGGGCCTGACGAAACAGCATTCCACTGCCCCCTCCAGCTGGCGTGCCCTGAGCCCGTTGGAGTTTGGCAGCTGTCTGCCCCAGGGCCAGGGAAAACAGCCATCTCCCACGGTGGACTCGGCCACTCCTCATCCCCAAAACAGAAACACAACAGCCCCGATCTCCATGGAGAGTTCAATCCTCTTGTCTGGGATTGGCACCGACCAGAATTCCAAGGCTTGCACTGAGCTACCTCCCGTGAGGTCTAAATACAGCACGGTCACATTTAACTCAAACACACCGCCTGGACCCATGCCTGGGGCTGACGGTCCCTAAGGGTCAGCAAAGACACCTTGACTTCTAACCGCCCAGGTAGTTCTGGGCATTTCAAAGCCACCTGAGCATGGATGCACAGGTCAGCCCCTGGTTCATCAAGACTGCAAATGACCACAAGACTGACAAAGTAACCCCCCTGGAGAGGATTAACACAGAGGGCATGCTGGGCTGCAGGAGGCAGGCTGGCACTGGGGGCAGAGAGTTAGAGCGATGTGAGGAGAAGAGTAAGGAGAGAGAGGAAAAGGTCCTTAAAAAAAGGTCCTGAGGCCAGAGCGATAGCACAGCGGGTAGGGTGTTTGCCTTGTACACTGACCCAGGTTTGATCCCCGGCATCCGACATGGTTCCCCAAGCACCACCAGGATTAATTCCTGAGTGCAGAGCCAGGAGTGACCCCTGAGAATTGCTGGGTGCGACCCAAAAAGCAAATTAAAAGAAAAAAAAAAAGGTCCATTTCTTAGCTGATCAGTTACAAGACTTTTAAGCCTGCTCCTGAAACACCCAACTTTCCCAATCTGCCTCTCTCTGGAACATGGGGGTGAAGTCCCAGACTTCAGTGCCTCTGAGCTCTGAGACTTCAGATTTGAACTGATTTCTGTATTTGCCACATCTCTTCAGTGGTTCCACTGACTGCTGGTGGCAGGCGTTCCATGCACAGAAAGTGGCCAGCTCATAGAAGTTTCTCAAAGTTTTGAGGTGGTGGCAACTGCAGCAGAGGCAGAATAAAGGCAATCCTAGGGGTCACACCCTCCACTCTGCCCATACTTCCTCTGCCCGAGAGAAGGCAGAGAATAGCTGCTGAGGCTGCCATATGCAATGGAAACTCCCAACCGGGATAAGCTGAGCATGCATGGACAAAGGAACCTTCAAGAGAGCCAAGCAAATAAAACACAGCCACACCCAGAAAGAGTCTGAGAGTGGGGAAATGGAAGCTGCCACCTGCCTTTCCACAAGTCAGGCTGTCGGAGCCCCAGGAGGGGGTTGTTTAGACGCAGAGTCCCTTACCTTGGTGTTCATACATGACTTCCCCCGCTTATACTCTTTGTGGGCGCCACGCTTGTCCAACTTGTGCCAGAGAGCCTTGGCCTTCCACGTGGTCACTTTGGACTTGAGCTTGGAATAGAAGTTTCTGTGGTCCTGAGGGTCGAGGTCCAGGAGCCGGGTGAGGATGTTGAAAGCCTGGAGGGTGCCCTTGCAGGTGGAAGCCTGCACGAAGTTCTCAAACACCTGACCTGCCTGGGCCAGCCTCTCATCTTCATTTTCCCCCATGTTGCCAGAGCCACGTGCAGCAGAGCTATGGACACGATGAAGGGGAACCGCATGAAGTGCCCAGAGAGAGGCAGCACCTGCAAAGGGAAGAAGAGGCAGCGATGAGCTCCGTGGCCATGGGGACAGAGTGATGGGTGGGTGCTGGGAGGTAAAGACACCTGTTCTGCTGTGCTCACATGCTGAGACTAATCCTTAACACTGAGTAGAAGCAGATTGGAATATGTCCATGCCCTCACCCCCTGTGCTGCCTTGCCTGCACTCTGACTTCCCCCCAGTACCCCACTCCTTCCGTGGCCCCGGCTTGCTCAGCACCATCCTTCGGTGGATGTTAACATTACTCAGCCAATCTTCCCAGGAGCAAGATGGTTCCAGACATTATAACCAGTCTAAAAGAAAGCACAGCAAATCCCACCAGACTGAGCCTCATGGCAAACCTTTCATTGTTGATGCTGCAAGTTGGTTGACCGGTCTAGATGGGTCAGAGTCATGACATTAGCACAGACAAAACCAAGCACCTTCCCCTGGGCTCCCTGACTAACACACCCACCCTTAGACCGCAGACTCAAAACTCTCCCATCGTGAGCTCTGAGAGCAGGCTCACCCCTGCACATGTGGCAATTTCTCAAAACTCTTTCTGCCCCCGGTGTTTGCTGGTATATATTCACACACACACACACACACACACACACACACACACACACACACACCCATGTAGGAAAGGGGTACATTCTTTGTAAACCCAAGCCAGGGATGATTTGGAGCCAGTTCTCTGAAAGAAGGAAAAATGCTACAAGTGTTCCTTCTCATCACAAAAAATAGCTTGCCCAGGTCTGGGCCACTGTTCTCCTTTCTCTGTGCTGCATTATCTCAGGCATTTTTTTTCTTTTTTTTTTTGTTTGTTTTTAATTTTTATTTTACTTGTTTATTAAATCACTGTGAGATAGACCCTTACAAAACTATTCATGATTAGATTCCAGTCATACAGTATTTTCACTCCCATTCCTCCACCAGTGTACATTTCCCAGCACCAGTATCCCCAGGTTCTCTTCTATCCCCCCTACCCCACCCTCCCACCCCCCAAGCCTGCCTCTATGGCAGGGGCTTTCCTCAGGTATTTCTTAACTAAGTCATTTAAGTTTCAAAGAAACAACAGCAATAAAATTAGCCAGAGCTGACTTTCCAAAGAACTAGCAATTTTTCCAGAATCTGAAGTTAGGGTAAGAAGACCAGCATGGAGTTGCTGGGGTTGGCCCAGCTGATGGGGGGCATCTAGGAGGATTAGGTAGGGGGCTGTAAGTGAGAGAATACCAGCAACTCCTCCCCCGCCCCTCACAAAAGGCCACCTGTCAGGAGGAGATCTGAACAGAGTCCATCCTTCAGCTGAGCAGCTTCCCTCTCTCACATGAAACACAATTGTGGGTTCCTGGGTTGTAGCCGGGCCTCCTAATGCTGAAAGCAGAGAAGGGCGCTTGTCTTCCTCCTCAATGCCCCATTCACTTGGCGACAACTGGCAAGTGCCACGCATCACCGCAGGGGCCAGGATATAGCACAGCCCTGCAGATCTCACTGCAGAAAAAAATGGGCAACTACTTGCAGAATGAAGACACAATGCAAGGAAGCTCCAGGCATGGGTAGGGGGGTGGGGGGTGGGGGGGCGGGAGGGGAGACACACAGAGCCTAAGTTCCAAGGAGCCGCCAGAAGGATGTTCCTACCAAAATCCTGGTCTCTAAGGAACCAGGATGAAATGCAGCTGACTACCAGGCACAGAAACGCCATCAGAAGGGTGCATCTGAAGAGCACCCCTGCACCCGACAAAGTTCAAAGGGCTAGAAGCTTAGTGGGGCTGTGAGGGTGCAGAGCACATGGTGGGATCTACTCACTCCAGTTGAACCGTGGGGTGCAGGTGAGGGAGCAGAGGGTGAGAAAAGTCTCCGGGGAGAGGAGGTGATGAAGGGAGGACTGGAGGAGGAGGCAGCTAAGACGAAATCACTGGGAAGCCAGGAGAGAGGAAGGGCAGAGTGGGAGTGTAGGGGTCCCCTTTCCCTGGAGCAGCAAGCACTGTGCAGGAAGGAGCCAGGCCTCAGACACCTTGAGAATGGGAGTGAGGGGCCCAGCGAGCTGCCCCATTGGCCGGCCTTGTGCTCTGCTGCAGCGAATGCACACAGATCTGGCTGTAGGTCCAGCCATGCTCCTGTACCTGGGCCTGCCCAGGAACTGGCCTGGCCTCTCTGCTTCCACAGACTCCGTGCAAGCCGCAGCCATGGAAAGCAGGCCAGTGAAGAAGACACGGCTCACCCCGGGACTCAGCAACTTACACCTCCAAGGGGCTCACTCTGGCACCCATCACACAAGCACTGACCCCTACTACTGTATTCCCACTTTGTTCTCCCCATGAGTCAGACGAGCAGCTGCAGGAAGCTGGGCTCTGGCTTTTCAGGACTAATAAACATCTTCGGGTTTTTATGTCTTTGGAAGCACTTGGGTTGCTCGTTTTTGTTTTGGGGCCATGCCTGACTGGGCTCAGGGATCACCCCTGGGAGCTCTCCAAGGGCCGTGTGGGGTGCTGGGGATGGAACCCGGATGGAGTGCATGCATGGCAAGTGTCCTACCTGTTGGACTATCTCTCTGCCTCCTGCCTGTGACTTTTTATAGCCATGAAATTGTCGCCAAATTCAAAAATTCCATGTTGATGAGCCAAAATCATAGTAAAGAGGATAGGATTGGTAGCCTTGCACATGCCAACCTGATTTGTGGGGGACGGTACTTTGGGGCCACACTTGGCTATGCTCAGGGATCACTCCTGGTGGTGCTCAGGGGACGTGTGTAGTATGGGGATCCACCTGGCATGGGAAGCATCCAAGGCAAGTCCTTACTTCCTGTACTATCTCCCCTGATGCTTTAGCACCTAATGTTGAGCAAAAGACACAGGAGCTGAAGGACAAACACAAAGACACAAAGTTGAGTTGAGCTCGGGTGGCAGCCTCTGTCCTTCCTGCCCACATGCAGGTGCTGCAGAGAAAGCCCTACAGTTGGGGCTGAAGAGACAGTACAGTGGGTAGGGCATTTGCCTTGCATGCGACCAACCTGGGTTGATTCCCAGCATCCCAGATGGTCCCCTGAGCACTGCCAGGAGTAATTCCTGAGTGCAGAGCCAGAAGTAACCTTTGTGCATTGCCAGGTATGACACAAAAAGCAAAGAAAGAAACAAAGAAAGAAAGAAAGAAAGAAAGAAAGAAAGAAAGAAAGGAAGGAAGGAAGAAAGGAAGGAAGGGAAAGGAAGGAAGGAAGGAAGGAAGGAAGGAAGGAAGGAAGGAAGGAAGGAAGGAAGGAAGAAATCCCTGAAGTTGGCCAACTAGACAGACTGTGTCCAAAGCCCAGCTTTGACCCCACAAGTCACTGAAATTCAGAGCCTTCGTGACTTTCCCTTCATATTTTGTCTTTAATTTTCATGTTTCATTTTCAGGTTTAGGGCACAGCATCCCTGGTATTTATAAGAGAAAGTTACTGATGTCTATGGAAACCTGGAACATCTGCTATCCCTCTGCCCTCCCTTCTATTTTTGGCATCTGTGGGGGGGTATCAGAGTCACGTCACATCCAACAGTGCTCAGGGGACTCTCCTGAAAGTGCTCAAGGGACCATATTTGGTGACAGGCTGAGAATCAAGCAAAGTCGGCCCCCTTGTATTAAGTCTCCTACCCCTCTTCTTTCTTCGTAAGAGAAGGCTGATGTGAGACCGGGGGGGAGATTCAGACATGTGTGCTACCCCAGCCCCAACCCTCATCCATGCGGGGAATGTCCTCTCCACACCTGAAACATAATTTTGGAAATCAGTCCCCCAAATGGCTAACTCTTCCTCCAGAGACAGAGCAAGCCAGACTACCTCACGAGCCAGGAACCATTCACAAACCAGAAGAACCTGTCTCCTCTCAGCCCCAGCTGCCTCCCCTCCTTCCCCCAGAGTAAAATGAACAACTTAATCTTCAGGCTCCACGAGGACCCTGGGTGGGCGTGGGAGCCCCAGGAACTAGTTCTTATCTAGAGTGAGATAAGGGAGATGGTGGAAGACGCCAGGCAGCCAAGATGAGCTGCCTTGGCTCTGAATCCCAACAGCCTGTACCAGGCTCAAACCAGACTCCCTACATCTAAATGGTCTCGGCTCCACCTTCAAAATCAGTGTTCCATCTTAAGTCAGAGACCTCAAAAATGACTCCCACACCGAGAACGGGTGTGCTTCCCACAGAAGAATATCAAGGTACTGAGAGTCTGGCAAACCTGCCTGTGAGTTGAGTCTCATGCACTAACCATCAGTGGGGGCCCTTGGCAAGGTATCTGATCAGTCTGTAAAATGAGGAGAATGATACCTACCTATCTGGAAGAGGTGGGGGAATAAAGCCTGTAGGTGATGGGCATCACAGTTGGCACAGCTGTAGTACTGTGTGTCCTGAATGTCTATTTTTACATGTAGGTGAGGTATTATGCACTTGGCCTCATGCATTACTCCTCAGAGGACTGAAAAGAAGGGTTAAAGGAACACAGCGACCCTGGGATTAGCTTCATGTTGAGGAATTGCTTTCAAAAATAATGGCCGGGGGGGGGGGGGGCAGGCGGGGGAGGGGTGGGAAATACCTGTCATAGAGGCATGCAGGGGTGGGGAGGGTGGGAGGGAAACTGGGGGACATTGGTGGTAGGAAATGTACACGGGTGAAGGGATGAGTATTGGAACACTATATGACTGAAATCCAATCATGAACAACTTTGTAAGAATACAGGAGGTCAGGTGTTTTCCTTGCATGCAGCTGACCCCCAATTCAAACCCCAGCACCACACATGATCCCCTGAGCAGCACCAGTGGTCCCTGCTGGGCACAGCACCAGGACTAGTCTCTCAGCACCTCTGGGGTATGGCCAAACCAACCCCCTTCCCCAGTAAAATCAGTTCAAAATTTCTGGGATCAAACCTACTTCCTAGTTGTGTACCCTTGGACCAATCACCATCTCTGAGTTTTAAGGTGCCTTATATCTATAGTGGGGAATATCATCCTGGATAGTTTGGAAAATAAAGGAAGAGAGGATGA